TGATATGCCCTGTAAACTTTCACTCAATCCACAATAAGAACCTTCAAAACAGAAAGGCGTGGTAACCTACACCAGAAAATCCTGCCGTTAGAGGCCCTTTGGAACACAGCTGCTGTGCCACTTAGTAATGAAGCACCTTTGTTTTAGGAGTCTCTCTGCCCTGAGCCTTCCCAAGATGCCTCCCCTCGCAGTCAGAGAAATTTATGAGCCACCTCCCTGGATGATTGCCTCTCTAAATTACCAAAAAGTAGAATACCTAATTTTTAGCAAGAAAAGAGTAAAGTAACAGATTGTATTCTACTTCAGGGCTACTACCTATGTTGTTGTTGTTAAGTGCCGTGGTGCGACCCTGTATAGGGCTTCCAAGAAACAGCTAGTGAGTTTGAACCTTTGACCTTGTGTTCAAACCAACCTTGAGATCCAGTGCTTTATCGCAGAGCACTACACCACTTAAACATGCCCCCTCTGGTTATAGAAATAATCTCTCTTATGGAGTCTTGGTGTGGCACTGTGGGTAATGAGCCAGACTGCAAAACCATTTGAACTGCAAGGTTGGCGGTTCAAGCTCATCAGCTATTCCTCGGAAACCCTATAGAGGGTCACTATGGGTCAGAACTGACTCAATGGTACTAAACAACAATGGAGTGCTGGTGAGGTGCTGCAGGATAATGTGCTGGACCTCAAGGTCAGTTTGAAACAAAAGGTCAGTGGTTCAAACCCACCAGCGCTCCTTGGAAGCCTTATACAGGGTCACTATGGGTTGGAACTGACTTGACAGCACTTCACAACAACAACAAGAAAATGCAGAAAACTTTAAAGAGACAAACTGATCCATAACCCTAGGCCTTCTGTAAGATTGCTGTTGTTGGGTGCCACTGCCTGAATTCCGACTCACAGTGACCCCGTGTGCAAAAGTGAGCCCTAAACCATCCCTTCCACAGCAGCATCTCCAACTCACCTGGATCTGATCATTCATAGCTGTGGCCACTCAGAACTCAGACATCATACTCAAGAAGTTAATAGGTAACAACGCAGGGTCAGAAATGTTCAGGGCCCAGCTCCTCCAGTCAGGACAGCCATGTCCACAGGTAGGCCTCTCTCTGTCCACGCAATATTACAAAGCTCAGCTCGGGCTGCTGATGATTACTCACAGGGCACGCCATTCCTCCTTAAGCCTCTGCCTGAAGGCACTTGATTCTCGTTCCGCCCCCAATTAAGTGCCTGGAGGCACCTTACTCTGCTAGCAAGCCTCCTGCCCAAAGGCACTCAGCTTTACTTGCTCCGCAGGCTAGAAATCCCACCCCTCGGTCTCATGCTCTGGCTCTTGGTTCCGCTGCTGCTGCTCCTAGCGCTATCCTTGG